AAATAGCTCATACATTTTCATTCCCTTATCATAACCCAATAATTGCCGGTAAGATGGTTTACCCCATTGTTGGGCATTACTTGTTTTTGATTTAGCACTTTCTGGAGAATTTACATAATGAACTAAGGCACATACATGTTTACATTTACCTGATAGGCCAGCCTTGCATTTACAAATTGCACTTATAATGTTTCTGTTACAATCAAGCTGAAAGTTGAGAAAGTACATAAATAGAATTAATGAAACGTATACTTTGAAAACATAATACATTTCATAAATTCAAAGGTAATTCAGAAATAATTACAGTAATTTGCACGTCGTAAAGAATAAGAATTTTTGTTTGTGCGACAATTTTACCAGTTATCACAGTATCATTTTTGTCGTGAGTTTTCTCTTCAACATCTAACACGTGGCCGGCCTCGAAGAGCTTTTTTCCTTTTAATATATTTTGACTACGTTGTCGATCATTATTGATTGGTCATTACACCCATATTTTATAATTTTAATCATCATAAAACATAAAAATATGTAATTTTGATTTTTGTTTATATTGTTGACAACACGATGACAGGTCTGATAAGTTTCTTTTATTGTCCGCATAGTGTCTCTTCTGTCGCAGTAGTGCTGCCACCTATAGTTTGTGCACGGTCCCTATAACGTATGTACGGGTACGGGGCTCTGTATCGAAAATCACTATGAGCAATAAGCATCACACACGGTTACCTGGAGTGCATTACCGCAGCAAAAAGCTTGCCATCTTAAATGAACGGTATAATATCGAGGTTTCGTCAGTACAGTTGCGAACAAAGGTGTTTGTGTAGTGTAGTTGAGTTGAGAGGTCAGATTATTGAAATAATAAAACGAACATTTTATTTTTTAAATACATTTTAAAAATAATTTACATTACAGATAACAATGAGAGGATGACATTGCAAGGTGGTGCCAGTCCAGTCTTAAATCCGTTGATATATGCTGCATCTGCCATGTTTTTGGCTAAAAGATTCTTCTATCTTGCAGTTTAGACTTTTATTACAGACCTCAGACAGTATTTTTGGAAAACTTTTACGCATGGTGGAGGAAGGGACGCTCTAGAGACTCAAGTCTAGAAGGAGTCACATGAACTCCAAGTTTTAAATCCGTTGACATCTGCTGCATCTGCCATCTTTTTGGCTAGAAGATTCTTCTATCTTGCAGCTTAGACCTTTAGCTACAGACCTTAGACAGTATTTTTGTGAAAATTCTTACGCATGGTGGAGGAAGGGACGCTCTAGACACTCAAGTCTACAAGGAGTCACATGAACTCCAGTTTTAAATCCGTTGACATCTGCTGCATCTGCCATCTTTTTGGCTAGAAGATTCTTCTATCTTGCAGCTTAGACCTTTAGCTACAGACCTTAGACAGTATTTTTGTGAAAATTCTTACGCATGGTGGAGGAAGGGACGCTCTAGAGACTCAAGTCTACAAGGAGTCATATGAACTCCAGTTTTAAATCCGTTGACATCTGCTGCATCTGCCATCTTTTTGGCTAGAAGATTCTTCTATCTTACAGCTTAGACCTTTAGCTACAGACCTTAGACAGTATTTTTTATTATTTATTTGTGTCAGTGTGCTCTTCTAAAGAGTGTAAGACGATTGTATGTAGGTACTATTAAAATGTAATTTTAACTCATTGGTTTTGTCTCATATTTGAGGAATGTACTATGTATCATGAGTAGAGTCTTCGTTTAAAAGGATGCGAACGATTTAAATTTCAATAGGTAGACAAAATTGATAATTCTTAATTATCAAAAATTTAAGCTTTCTCCAGTAACACTGATATTATTATACTGTGACTCATCAAAGTCATCATTGTCAAAAATATTGACAAATCGTGAACTGTCACGGCCAAAAAACTGACACGCGTCCGTCCTCCGTAAGCGCCACCGCGCGACTGATTGAGATTGTCCAAGCCGTCATGGACAATTTTTTCCAAATTTTTTAACATAGTAACTAAATAAGACGCAATATAAAAATTTCATCCGTTAAAAGCCCTCAAGTTATTTCTGAACTTTAGTTTAGTAAAAGATTTAGAATCTCAAATCGCTTATTTTAAAAATAAAACCATAATTAGAAAACGAATAGAGGTAACTTTGGGAATTTATTCTATCGAGTCAACTTCATCAAATCGTGTTTCCATCCGTTAATAGCCCTAGAAAATATCCTCAACTATGCCCAATAAAAATCTTAGCCTTTAATTTTACTGTTTAGTACCTCAAAAATGAAAAATGAAAACCTCATTTTCGCCATTTTCTCTGCTACCCGGCCTTACTCTTAACACTAGAAGTGCCGAAGATTACGACCCCCCTAAAAGCGCCGCTGGGTCAATTTTGTCCCGGCATGTATTTTGTAACATTTTTTAAGTTTCAGGCATGAATATTATGGTTAAAACTATTTGTAGTATCCTTAAAAAAAGGTTTATCTATGTGGTTAAAACAATATGTACTTATTTCTTTAAAAATATAAATGTATTCAATTTTAATTTGGAATTATTAAAATTTAGATATTTTTGGTTTCATTTAAAAATAGTCACATATTACGTGGTGGTATACTGTATTAAAATCATGAAATTACTGCTTTAACTAGTCATTATTATTTTTAAATAAAAAATAAATATCTTAAAAATAATAGTGCACATTTTGCACAAAGTTTTTTTGTATGGTTTTTTGTCTATCTGGTGTACTATGTGTTTAGGAATTTCTATATGTATGGTTATTTTTCTGTTATCTGTACACAAACAATTAAGTTTTTGACCAATTACAATGAAAATTATGTACGTTTAATCGTTAAAATTTTATAAGTCACACATTTTAAAAATGTATCAAATCATACAATGTATGAACTGGCTTATGTCTAGAGGCCATCTTCCTACTAATATTATAAATGTAAAAGTTAATAAATATTGATGAATTGAAGGATGGATGGACTGATGAATGGATAGGATGGATAAATAGGTGGATATATGCCTGGAACTTGAACTAAGTGAGTATGGATTCATGGTTAGATCGATGGATGTTTTTTCACTCTTTTACGCATAAAATACTAAGCCGATCTTAATAAAACTTTGCAATTTTATTGTTAATACTTCAGAATAACATAATATAGGCTATAATTTAGAGTAATGTTCAGTTATTTGGTCAAAAAGCAACGATAAGTGTCAAGAAATTAGGTCTTTCTATGATAAACTTAATTTCTCACGGGTGAAGTCACAGGCAAAAACTAGTACAATATATTTACATTTCTGCATTGTCACGAGTCACTTAAACTCTCCTCACCTCTCCACTTTCGTATCTCCTCGAAAAAAGGACTCTTCATCGAATTATTGTGGCAAATACCAGGGTGGGACAAAATTGACCCAGTGGCGCTTCTAGGTAAAACCGATTTTTAAATTTTTTCTATTAATGTTATATTATCAAAAACATTAAAAAATGATAAAATTCAATAAATCAGAAAAAGTCAAAAAGTTTCATGGACTTTCGTTGAAAAATAAAAAAAGTTAGAGCTGATCAAACTCGCGAGTGGGACAAAAATGGGACGGCGGCCTTTCTAGTGTTAAGCTATTAGGTAGGAACTAAGTTTTTGTCGCAAACTCGTCTTTATAACAACAGCATAAGACCCCATAGTGTTAAGCCGTCAGTACACTATTAACCAAGCCCAAAATAAACTAACCTTTATCCGAAAAGCGATCAGTCCGATTGTTGTTAATTTATTAATCGAATCAGGATTGCTAGCGCTAACGTCTATTGAACGTTTTGATAGAATAATTGATTAGCAATTATGTAAGCATTGTTCAAATCTAAGCCGATTTGATGACTGTTAAAAGATGCCAAATAAATAATGGGCTTAAATGGAGATAGCTTTTGTCAAACAGGTGTCTCTAATTTAAGACCGTTTAAACGTTTTCTTTTAACAAAAAATAGCTTAATTTAAAACGAAAATTTTTTCAGTGTATCTCAAGTAATAAATAGGCTTTGACATGACAAGTCGAGCTGGCGGATATACTATATTGATTGAGAATTAGTATTTATCAAAGTATTTTTAAATAATTTCAAGAGGAGCAAATTAAACTGCGTCAATATTTATTTTATAAAAGTATCCGAGAGAGAACCATAATTATATTCGACAGAATCTTTCAAAAATTACGTACGTTCAGAGATAATTTGTGGTACGAGTACTAGGTACCTAGTTATTATTATCGTAAACTCCTGGAACTACCAATTAGTTCCTTCTGCAAGTAGTGCCGAGCTTAATTTCGCTTCTGTAACTTAATACCAATATCAGACTCAAGATCTTACACTCATCTCCAAACATCAAAGACGGTTCGTTACAGAGCAAGGCGTGCTTCGTTAGAGCATATTCTCACATACTAGAGCTCCTTATAAAAGGCGAACGTTCCGTTTTTATTCCCTTTTTGCGATCGATGCGCTTTTGTTCTGGATCATCCGTAAAACTCACATGGCTCAAGAAACTAAAGTAAAATAATTGGTTTTCAAAGTGCCGTGAATTGTGAAAGTGCCGTGAATTGAATGGTATCGACTTTTGCATTCATCTGTCTAAATAGGCTTAAACTACGCCACTTTGCCTTTTCTTAAAAAGTTCTCTGTTAAAACCCACACCTTAATTTTTTTCCATCAGATATTTGTAAATGATACCAGAGTAAACACAAATGAGTAGGCCATCTTCATAGAAACGCACCGAGCGCGGTTTGAATGTGAGCGCGCCAATACGTATGCGGCGCGCACGCACACACTGACAAAATTTAACGTGGATTAGCGGGGCCGTGTGTGTTTCTATGAAGATGACCTACTCATTTGCATTTACTCTGATGATACGCTTCTAATCATATTGTGAGAATGTGGTTTACATTGTTTAGAATTCCAACTTTTTATGGTGGTATTATAATATCAAACTATTAAGAATTTTATTGTGACTTAAAAATAATCCTATTTTTTAACAATTCCAGCGTTGCCGAGCTTGGACCCAGTTTTGAAGGCAGACAAGGAGCGCTACCAACCAGGGGAGTTGCTGAAGGCTAACTGCACTTCATCTCCTGCGAAGCCAGCAGCCAACCTCACCATTAAAATCAATGATGAGCCGGTATGTTCCAGTTTGAATTATTTGACGCACTGTCTATAATAGGCACCTATCACATTATCAGATATGAAAAGATTTGAAATTATTTTAGCGTAAAAAGTGATTAGAGTGAGCCGGTTTGTTAAAATTTTAATGATTTAACGCACTGTCTATCCCAATTATTATTTATTTATTTTATTTATTTACACTTTTGCACATGCATATGTACAGTGGCGGACTTAATGCCAGGTGGCATTATCTGCCAGTCAACCACAGGTCGAGACATACACGTAGAGATTTGAAATGTTTGAGCTTTATGTAGAGTAATTAAGTTTGAAATGGGAGTTGAAAGGTTTTTTGGGAACATAATCTCAGACACATCATGTTGCTGAATGTCAGTCTCCAGCTATTAGTAGCAAACCGTCCTTAATGAATAATATTTTTTGCCTTCGGTACTGATTAGTATAAAAATAAAGTGGTAATTAAGTACTTTGGAAAGTATTTCTAAAAGTTATACCGCAGTATTTAATAAGTCTTGTAAGTCACCGACATCATTATTTCAAATCAACCAAGTTGTAGAAACGCCCTAAATATTTGTAAAAGTTTGAAACTGGGCTATTTTCATGGGAAAAACATGACATCAAAAAGTAAATAATTCTCTTAAAAAAATAGCACTTACCTTATCTCACCGCCAACTTCTCCAATTCCAGCTGCGCTCGTCAGAGACCAGTCTCCACGCCTCCGAGACCGGTCTTCTCTGGACCAGCGTCCACGCCGAGATGAAGGTCACTCCTCAGCTGTTCGTGAGCGAGCGGCTACGAGTGACCTGCGTGGCCTCAGTCCACGACCTGTACAAGAGAGAGGCTTACTTGGACTTCTTCACGCCTGATACAGATCCTAGGCCTGAGAGAAGTAAGTACTAAGTAACTAACAAACACACATACGGTGGAAATAAGAGCCCATAATACATCTAAGATGTCGCAGGACCTTTCAAAAGACCCACACCTAGCATTGGCCTTGGCCTATAAGGTTGGTAAGTTTGACCCTGGATTTCAATAGGTTAATAATATCAAAGATCTACGAAACTGTGCGTGGTTATTAAAATATCTGCATGGCCAGAGACTTATTTTCTCTGGACCAGCGTACACGCCGAGATGAAGGTCACTCCTCAGTGAGCGAGCGGCTACGAGTGACCTGCGTGGCCTCAGTCCACGACCTGTACAAGAGAGAGGCTTACTTGGACTTCTTCACGCCTGATACAGATCCTAGGCCTGAGAGAAGTAAGTTATGATTATGTCAGGGCTCATGCAATACACATAAACGGTAGGTGTAAGCTGTATATATGTCACCGGAAAATAACAAGACTCGTAAGTTGATCAATTTACTAGGAAGTTGATCAACTCTCGGAAAATAACAAATGGCAGTTGAAATGTACTATTTAACGCATCGAATTTTAGCTAATTGGTCAACTTACGGTACCTAGCCGTAATTTAATAATTAACTATATTGCTACAAGTAAAATCATCCACAAATGGGCCAATCGTTGCCCAGTGTACTATTTGACGGTACACTATTATCCGTCACTTAATACACTTTTCTCTGATTGGTCGACAGACACTTAGATTATGTTGTTTTAATATTTACATTTTAGAGATAGGGATATTAAAGTTCGTCTATGCTATACTATAGTTAAATAAATGAAAAATGTTTAAAAAATATAAATTGGAGCTCAAAGTTTTATTATTGTAAGTTATATTAATAATAAGTAAGTTTGTTTATTTCTGCCACTACAGACTCCATTTCACTCATCATAAATAAAATGACGCGTTATAATGAGAATTATTACCACACAAAACAACAATTGCTAATTTTACTACTGTAAATAAAGAAAATAGATAGATTTGTTTACGTTTAAACCGGTAATGGCGGCGGCCGGGTGGCGGGGAGCGGTATAAAAGCACGTGAGTCTTTTAACCAATCAACGTGCGCCTTGCCTTTGTCGGATGATTTAACGGCAAGACGCCGTAAATTAATCAACTTACTAAATTACATACGTTAAATAGTACATTTCAAATGCCGTTTATTATTTTCCGAGAGTTGATCAACTACCTAGAAAATTGATCAACTTACGATTCTTGTTATTTTCCGGTGACATATACAACTAGTAACATCACAAACAACATCACAAAAAAGATAAGTAAAAAGACCGCATGTAAACCCAAAAGCAGCGGCGTCGTGTCTCGTAGGATCTACCTGGAACTTCACATAGCGTTCTCCTAAGCCTATTAAGTGAGTAAGTTTGACTCTGGCTTTCAATATGCCCTGCTGAACAATATCACGGATTGTAGAACTACATCCGTGGTAGAAGACTCATCTCTTATGGTTCAGCCTACACGTTGTGGTCAGATACCGGTCTCCTCTGGACCAGCGTGCACGCCGAGATGAAGGTCACTCCTCAGCTGTTCGTGAGCGAGCGGCTGCGAGTGACCTGCGTGGCCTCAGTCCACGACCTGTACAAGAGAGAGGCTTACTTGGACTTCTTCACTCCTGATACAGATCCTAGACCTGAGAGAAGTAAGTACTAACTAACTAACAAACACACATACAGTGGAAATAAGAACCCATAATACATCTAAGGTATCGCAGGACCTGTCAAAAGACCCACACCTAGCATTGGCCTTGGCCCACAAGGTTGGTAAGTTTGACCCTGGATTTCAATAGGCTCAGCTGAATAACATCAGGGGTCTACGAATCTGTACGTGGTTATTAAAATATCGCCATGGTGAGAGACTTATTTTCTCTGGATTAACATGCACGAGGAGATGAAGGTCACTCCACAGCTGTTCGTGGGCGAGCGGCTGCGAGTGACCTGCGTGGCCTCAGTCCACGACCTGTACAAGAGAGAGGCTTACTTGGACTTCTTCACGCCTGATACAGATCCTAGGCCTGAGAGAAGTAAGTTATGATTATGTCAGGGCTCATGCAATACACATAAACGGTAGTGTAAGCTGTAGATACAACATCACAAAAAAGGTAAGTAAAAAGACCGCATGTAAACCCAAAAGCAGCGGCGTCGTGTCTCGTAGGATCTACCTGGAACTTCACATAGCGTTCTCCTAAGCCTATTAAGTGAGTAAGTTTGACTCTGGCTTTTAATATGCCCTGCTGAACAATATCACGGATTGTAGAACTACATCCGTGGTAGAAGACTCATCTCTTATGGTTCAGCCTACACGTTGTGGTCAGATACCGGTCTCCTCTGGACCAGCGTGCACGCCGAGATGAAGGTCACTCCTCAGCTGTTCGTGAGCGAGCGGCTGCGAGTGACCTGCGTGGCCTCAGTCCACGACCTGTACAAGAGAGAGGCTTACTTGGACTTCTTCACGCCTGATACAGATCCTAGGCCTGAGAGAAGTAAGTACTAAGTAACTAACAAACACACATACGGTGTAATAAGTAGATTTACAATTCCACAAAAAGGTACCTAAGAAATAAGAGCCCATAATACATCTATGGTGTCGCAGGACCTATCAAAAGACCCACACCTAGCATTGGCCTTGGCCCATAAGGTTGGTAAGTTTGACCCTGGATTTCAATAGGCTCGGCTGAATAATATCACTGATTTACGAAACTGTACGTGGTTATTAAAATATCTACGTGGTCAGAGACTTATTTTCTCTGGACCAGCATACACGCCGAGATGAAGGTCACTCCTCAGCTGTTCGTGAGCGAGCGGCTGCGAGTGACCTGCGTGGCCTCAGTCCACGACCTGTACAAGAGAGAGGCTTACTTGGACTTCTTCACACCTGATACAGATCCTAGGCCTGAGAGAAGTAAGTAACTGACCAAACCCGCATACGGTATAAGAGTCACAAAAGGCGAGTAAAAAGAGACCATAATTAATCTAAGAGGTGTCACAGGACACAAACCTTGACCCATTAGGTTGGTAAGTTTGACCCTGGCTCTGGCTCTCATTAGGCTCAGCTAAATAACATCAGGAATCTACAAATTATGTACGAGGTTGTTAAACTAACTCCGTGGCCAGAGGGTAATCTCCTCTGGACCAGCGTCCACGTCCGCGAGTGACCTGCGTGGCCTCAGTCCACGACCTGTACAAGTGAGAGGCTTATTTGGACTTCTTCACGCCTGGTACAGATCCTAGGCCTGAGAGAAGTAAGTAACTGACCAAACGCACATACGGTTCAAGAGTAGACTTACAATTTCACAAAAAAGGTGAGTAAAAGAAAGCCCAACAAGAGAACCAAAGGGTACATCAAGTAGGCCTTTTATTTAGCTTATTATTATGCTGTGACTCATTAGTTACGTTAGTTCGGCGCTGATTTTCACCTTTTTTTTTTTTTTTTTAGGTGGTAAAAATGCATTGAGCTGCATACCCGCCGCTGTGGTCAGGCGACGGGTTATGTGGGGCTCTCCCCTCCAGACGGGAGGGGCCTACCCACTAAAAATCCACCAGTGTCCTTCTTTCTGAGCATAGGGGAATTGCCGGTGTAGCGAACCTTAACCCGAGTTCCACCTATGCTCAGTTAATCCGCTGTGCGGACCCACCTTATTATTACCACAGGACAACTCTAAGCAGGCGCCTATGCGCCTTCCACCAGTTTATGTACAGCTGTACAATCTTTACAATTTATGTACACAATATCAGAAACCCAAGCAATATCATAGGACCTTCACCTAGCATGTACCGTGGCCAGTTAGATTGGTAAGTCTGTCCCTAGTTTTAGTATGCCCAGAAGAACATCACGGATCTGTAAATGATTATTGATCGACTTCCACGGTCAGAGACTAATCTTCTTTGGACGTCGAGATGAAGTTCACTTCTCAACTGTTCTACCAATACAAATATTTTATTTAAATCATGGACGAGCGGTTGCGAGTCAAAATCAGTAGAGGAGGCCACCTCCAAATATTTCCACAACGACCAATCCCAAGCTACTAACTAATATGCTTTCAGAAATTTGCGCCGCAGTGGTATTTCAGTGAATTTTTTTAACTTATCTTCTGTGAATTGACAAGAACCTATTAATTTAAGGCATACAGTATACAGCCCAAACATTCTTCCAAAATATTTTTGCTCATAGCATTCTTTGTTTCTATTTCCAGTCACCCTCAACGGAGGCGCGTCCAGGTGTTTCCTCAGCTGGGTGTTCTTGTTCTTCGTCATGTTCCTGCCTTTCGCCATGGGGCAGGACTTCATCTACGAAGATTACCCAGAGTACTACGAAAGCGACCACCCCATTAGATCTACTGTTGAGCGCACGCTCCTCGGCGGCTGAACCATCGCGAACTATCTGTGTGATACGAATTTAATCTGTGCGTTAGTTGTAAGACTCCTAGACTACGGACTTTTAGTCGGCCGATAGTTGGGCCCGATTCTAATTTGTATGAAGATACCAATATAGATCGTTTCATCCACGAAGATACGCCCCACCAATTTTTGGTCGAGGGAAGCGCGGGGTGCGGGGAGTTTGATCCGAGCAATCCGAGAGTCATTATTGTAGTATGCGTGTGCACTCATGGATAGCGTGTTTAGCGTGTACCAATAACACTCAAACATTAGCGGAAGAATGGAAGGGCGCGTCTTCGTGGATGAAACGACTTATACCAATGTGCGCACTTTCATATGAAACTACTGATACTGATGCATGTTCATACTGATTAACAGCTCGACCCAACTATCGGCCGAAAAAAAATCTGTAGTCTGCGTCTAGGCTAAATATTTTAACGTTAAGTCGATTTTGGGATTGCCAATGTGAAGGTTTAGTGATGTTAGCGTAGAATAACGAAGTAGTATCGGTAAACTGGAAACGTTGACATGTAAATACGAGTATCTGGATGTTGGTAAATAAGGCTATTCTTGGACTTTTTTCACATCTTTCTACTTTAGTTTTTCTTCACATAAGATACCACTAATACATATAAATAACGTGGGAAAACGTCCAAATATGTATAATGATAATAAACCAACGTGCATGACTTGATTTAACTATTTATAACACCTCAATGGTTGTCATGATTATCGAGGTTAAGCAACTAATTTGACTAGCTCTACCAAATCAATGATTCCAAAGATAGATGAGAGCGATCATTGTTTTAGCTTTAGTTGATTTAAGTCTTATTTTTAATTACCTATAGACTATGGCTATAGCAAACGATGTTTTAATAATAAATAATAATATGTTGGAAGTTCAAAGATAGCATGTTAAGTTTTAGGAGTGGGTACCTAACTAAGTGAACAATCATGTTTGATACTTATTATGCTTTATCCTTTCTCTAAAACTGGGATAACGACATACCTTTATTGTAACACAGCAACACAGCACGTTATCGGAATAGCCTACAGTGAAAATGGATGATAAAATTATGTAGCGGTTGTCAAAATACCTACCTTTAAAAGAAAGAAAAGTGTTTTAGGTATTACGATGATTAATTATTTAATTTTTGTTTATAAGGTAAGCAAGTCAAAACAAAAATTAATAGTATTTTTTTTGTAGGCTCTTTTTCAAGGAACTTAGGAGATAATTTATTTCTGGATGGTTTAACATTACAATGTGTTTTTAAGTTATTTTAGTTTTACAACAAGAACTGTAATATAAGATCGTTAAGAACGATGTAAAATTAGGAATTGTATCTTAGATTAAATTCGGTTGGCAATGAACAAAATCGCTTAACTTCAATCGTTCATAAACTAAGTTCACCCTTGTGATGAAATGGTGCTGATTCTGAAATGCCGTCTCGATACTTAAATTTAATAATTACAGGAAATTAATTCACGTTTTCACCATCAATCTCTAATTTTTAAGTGGCCCTTATGAAAACAAAATTCCTGATGTGTTACCATAGGAGTCCCTTAAAAATAATTTATAAATTGGTGGTGAAAACGGGGATAAATCCATTTATTTAGCATCACATAAACATTTTGAGGTTCATAATAAATGGCTTGAGAGTTGAATTTGAGAGATAAAGATCTAGAACTCTAGAAAAGACCTTTTATACTTTCATCAAAAATTATGTACCTATGGGTCAGAACTGTCTATATCATCAGAACGGAACAATCTGATGATACAGACTGCGATCCGTTCTGATGATGCTCACATATTCTTTATGGACGCTTGTCCAGAAATAATGATTCTTATTCAAATTTTGAATCAGATTTTAAATTGCTGCTGGAAAGTCAACTGCAAAATAAAACTGGTTTCTTTCAAAATCTTCTGCATGAAAAAGTCACTTCTTTAAATTGGTGGTGGTTCTGTTACACTATTGTTCTAACTAAAATGTTGATTTCATTCGTTGTCATTAAAGAGGTTCAAATTACTGTTAACTACTGTAAAATGCTTTACAGAGCCGCAGTATAGATCGTGATCTTTAACCATCGCAAACGCGAGTCTCTAATAAAATAGTTTAAGACGGCTAACGTCCATAAAGCTTAAAATGATAACTGTTCACTTAATTCATTAGACCAACCACAAGGTGGACCGACGGCCTCAAAAAGGTAGCAGGAAAGCACTGGATGCAGGCCGCCACCGACCGGTCATTATGGAAATCATTGGATGAGAACTATGTTTGGCAGTGGACGTCCTATGGCTGAAATGGTGATAAAACTGATGAGTATAGAGTTTACTCCATGCTTCATTTTTCCTCTCATGTGAAACTGCGGTAAATGTTTAGCTAGAGATACATTATTTAGAATATAGAATTTTAAACACAAACGTCCTTAGATCTATCCCAAATATTATAAATGCGAAAGTAACTCTGTCTGTCTGTCTGTCTGTTACGCTTTCCCGCTTAAACCTCGCAACCGATTTTGATGAAATTTGGCATAGAGATAGTTTGAGTCCCGGGAAAGAACATAGGATAGTTTTTATCCCGGTTTTTGAAACAGGGACGCGCGCGATAAAGTTTTTCTGTGACAGACAAAATTCCACGCGGGCGAAGCCGCGGGCGGAAAGCTAGTATATGTATAAAAGAAAGTCGTGTTAGTTACTCCATTTATAACTCAAGAACGGCTGAACCGATTTAGCTGAAAATTGTCAGGGAGGTAGTTTAGAGCCAGGAGAAGGACATAGGATACTTTTTATCCCGTTCAAAATAAAAAAAAAGTCTGCTTATTTATTGCCATTAAGGCGGAACAAAGTTCCCCGGGTCAGCTAGTATCTTATATAATTTGTACTATTTATTTAATTACAAAAAATGAGGGTAAAATTAGTTTAGGTAAAGCTTAAACAGAATCACCACCATTTTGTTTTTAAGTTTAGAGATTGCATCTCAGGGTTACCCCATTGTTAAAACTAGAGTAAGCACACAAAGATTTGTTAAACATTTTCTAATTCTAAGTATTTTTTGTACGCTTGTCTTCAAATTCTATAATTTGTTATTAAGTATTTAGATTGTTTAATTGTACCGATAAACTAACAAGAGGCATTTTTAAAATTACAAGAATTTATTGAGAAAATGTTTAGTTATGTGACCATAATACCTATTTGTTGTTAAAAAGTCTACTTTTCCAAAAAAAAGTTACACACATGGCCCTATATTTACTCGTATATTGTTTTTGTAGTGCCTGATTGACTTGCAGTGATTAAAGAAAATTATCTTAAGGCAAAGTACATAGCGCCATCTAACTAGTCCCGAATCAAACTACAATCAAGGGCCTTCGTTTGTTACTTTCACCAGGGAAAAATGTTGTTGCAAGTCAATTAGCAAATGAGAATAGAAAACTTACCTTGATTTCAATATTTTAAATTTTGGACAACAAAGCACATTTTAAATTGTGGAAAACACTATTGTGTTTTACATAAGACCCACTTTTAATACTTAAGACCCATTTTTTGCAATGAAATTCGTAAATAAGTATGAACTTGTGGTTATAAATCAGGTACCTAACTTTTGTAGATTTACGGGTATTGATGTCCACTGCAAATATATTGGCATGATTGTTGACTAGCTACGAGTACATTTTGTTTCTTAGATGATTTTGCGTATTTTTTCCAAGGAAGGCTTTTTAGGTTGAACCTAACCTAATGATGGGCAAACGGAGACGGGTTCAATGATATTATTTTTAAGTAATACGCTTAATAATTAATCGACATCATAAAGGTAGCAGGAAGACGCTGGACGCAGGCCGCTACCAATCGATCAACATGGAAAACATTGGGGGAGGCCTATGTTCAGCAGTGGACGTCCTCTGGTTGAAATGATGATGATGATGATGATGACGCTTAATAAGACGATTCAGCTAGCTCATTATTTACAGCAAATCAGCTGTAAATAAAATAGCAAGGTTCAATCGTTTTTTGTATTTTTTCTGTAAAAAAATCGCCAGACTTGGCAAATGTACCAATAAATATTTTAGTGTAAGTTTTCTTTGCTAAACTTAATTTCACTTCATAGGTTTAAGAATTTAGCCACGGGTTTTTTGTATTTTTTTGTATTGATAAGAAAAATGTTGAAATTATTGTCACGCAGAGATTTTAATTCATCTTTAAAAGACACTGTAAATAAAATAAAATTCCAAGTGATACCATGTTTTGTGATGTTTTATTCTTTTGTTTTTTAAGGATTACGTACCTACTAGGTAGACTTGCATTAAGAAATCCTTGGAACCTTTACACAGCGCCATCTAGTCCCGAACTAAGCAAGTTTGAACTATGAGTAGGGTACCAAAAAACCAACTAACATGATTAAAGTAATATCAATGGAGGGTAAAAGTAAAAGTGAGCCACTGTGAAATAAAAATATTTGCTAATCTGCAGATCTGCGCAAATAGGAAGCATTGCACCATAAAAGTAGGGTCGCCATTTATCATCGCCATCGTGCACGTTGGCCGAACCATAATATATGGTAGTACCTACTTGATAGTGTGGTACTGTAATGTACTATCGGCAACAGTGTTAACTGCCCATTGCCAGTCATGTCGTCTCGTTCTATCGCAAAGAATCACCATTTAATGAGAGCGAGAGCAAAAACGGAAATGGATAGTTTACAGTGTGGCCGTGTATACGTATACGTGAGATACGGAGCAAGAGGAAATATTTCAAGGAGTTAAAGCAAGAAGAATAATGATAAAATAAATACTTTAACGTACCTCGTGCATGCCTGGGCAGTGCCCTATTCTGGAACCAGTTTGTTTATATTTCACTTGGTCCACACTTTCACCATAATACACACTGATTAAATACACAATATTTATAAGACTTCCAAACCAATTTACAACGATATTCCACCGAAATACGAAATTATACTCCCAATTATACAGGAGCGTCTCGCGACCCGACCGAAGACATTTGACAACTGTCAATTTCCCAACTACCGTCCGAATTTTACAATATCTATTAAAGTGAACGCACACTTATCCGAGCCGAAGGAATCTAATTTT